AAAAAAAAAAAAAAAATTCACAGTGTTTGGTAATGATGAAATGGGAATAAATTTATTTCCAACAGTGTGGTGCCTATTTTTAACAGAAGTCATGCAGTAGAGGACCTCTGTGAAAGTAATGAAGGCAGTCAGTGTGGGAAAACCTTCAGCTGGATTCCAGATCTTACTGTGCCAAAAAGAAATCCTCCAGATGTAAATCCTTTTGAATGTTGTGAGTATGGAAAATCCCTCATGGATCACTCATCACATACGGATCATACCATATCTCACACTGGATGCAATGCCTGTCAGCGTAAGGAATGTGGAGAAGCCTACAGTTGTCCCTCTAACCTAACCACTCCTATGAGAACTCTTACTGGAAAGAAATCCCAGAAATGTAAGGTCTGTGGGAAGGACTTCATTTGTATCTCAACTCTTAAGACTCCTGTGACAACACTCACTAGTGAGAAATGCTATGAATGTAATGAATATGAGAAAGATTTCTTGAGTTTCTCATCCTTTTGGCCACATGTGAGTGGTTGTAAGTGTGAATGCCAAGAATGTTGTAAAATTTATGGTTGTCATTTGGCCATCATTTTACATAAAAAATTTCATAACAGAGGTAAGCCTTATAAATGTAAGGAATGTGGGAAAGCCTTTAGTGAGGCCTCATCCCTCACTCAACATTTAAGAACTCACAGCGGAGAGAGGCCTTATGAGTGTAAGGAATGTGGGAAAGCCTTTAGTCAGTCAGCACATCTCACTACACATATAAGAATTCACAATGGGCAAAGGCCTTATGAATGTAAAGAATGTGGGAAAGCCTTTAGTCAGGTCTCTTCCCTCACTAAACATGTAAGAACTCACAGTGGAATAAGGCCTTATAAATGTAAGGAATGTGGGAAAGCCTTTAGATGTTCCTCACACCTCACTCAACATATAAGAATTCACAGTGGAGAGAGGCCTTATAAATGTAAGGAATGTGGGAAGGCCTTTAGGTGTTCCTCACACCTCACCAAACATATAAGAACTCACAGTGGAGAGAAGCCTTATAAATGTAAGGAATGTGGGAAAGCTTTTAGTGATTCCTCAGTCCTCACTACACATATAAGAACACACAGTGGAATTAGGCCTTATGAATGTAAGCAATGTGGCAAAACCTTTTGTCAGGCCTCACAGCTCTCTACACATATAAGAACTCATAGTGGAGAGAGACCTTATGAATGTAAGGAATGTGGGAAAGCCTTTAGTGATTCCTCAGCCCTCACTACACATACTAGAACTCACAGTGGAGAGAAGCCCTATGAATGTAAGGAATGTGGGAAAGCCTTTAGTCATTCCTCAGCCCTCACTACACATATAAGGATTCACAGTGGAGAGAGACCTTATGAATGTAAGGAATGTGGGAAAGCCTTTAGTTGTTCCTCACACCTTACTGAACATATAAGAACTCACAGTGGAGAGAGGCCTTATGAATGTAAGGAATGTGGGAAAGTCTTTAGGCAATCTGCAAACCTTACTTCTCATTTAAGAACTCACCGTGGAGAGAGGCCTTATGCATGTAAGGAATGTGGGAAAGCCTTTGGAAGTTCCTCACACCTCACTAGACATAGAAGAACTCACAGTGGAGAGAAGCCTTATAAATGCAAGGAATGTGGGAAGGCCTTTAGTGATTCCTCAGCCCTCACTAAACATATAAGAACTCACAGTGGAGTTAGGCCTTATGAATGTAAACAATGTGGGAAAACCTTTAGTCAGGCCTCACACCTCACTTCACATTTAAGAACTCACAGTAGAGACCCTGTTCTCTGTCAAAAGTGGGATGTTTCATTCTTACTGCTGTAATTTCAAACAGTAAATATTACAAAGTCTAGAATTAAAGAACATAGTTTCTCAGAGAATAAGAAAGCATTACTAACTCAAAGAAAGGGTCCTTAGAGCTACTTTGTGCCTTTGGGACAAATGATAGCTTCATTGTGAGTGTGGAGCTTTCCTCATCAGTGTGTGTTACTTTTTCAGTCCAAGCTAAATTTCCCCTTTCTTAAAGTCTTTGGCTATTACAAATAAGGCTGCAGGGAATAGCCTTGAGCAAATTTTTTTAAAATGTTTTATTGATGTTATTTTTTATACAATAAAATACACTGATCTTGTATTTGGTTTAAGAGTATTTTGTTTCCTTATTTACTACATTTCCTTCCATTCTTTCCTATTATAAAGTTAACTATTTTAGCCTTTATAATTAGTAAATTTCTCATAGGGTGATACTTGGAGGCTGTGCAAATAGTGTTTTTCATGGTACTTCAGCTTACTAATTTTTTTTTTTTCTTTTTTGAGGGACAAATTAAATGTTTATTTTTAAATGTGTGCTTGTTTTCTATATTATTAGATTATAAATTCTTGGACAGCCACTTTACTCCTACTTATCTTCTTTAAAGATGACTGTTCATGGCCTATGAATTTTAAAACCCATTGATAATTGTTACCTATGATTCTTATCACTGTGATGTTTACCAAATGGTATTTTCTGTTCCAATCATTTCTTCTGTGTTATTAATTGTAATTCTGCAGCTAATAGTTCCCCCTTCTGTCCCCTTTATTTATTAACTTGTTCATTCCAGTATAGGCTAATCCATTTTTTTATCCTCGCTCAAATTGTCCCACATTTGGTTAGTAGGTGCTCCTTTAAGTAGGTTCCTATGGTTTTTTTAATGTCTCCATTATAATTTGTAAATTACTTTCTTCCATGTTCAGGGCTCATCTTGTCTCTTTAATGACCAAGCCCTGGAATCAGACTTTTCTCCAAGAAATCCTGATTTCTTTCTATTAGAAAGTGATGTTGAGAAACAAGTATCTAGGCTAATCTGTCCTGGAGGAAGTGCAGCCTGAATGCTCCTTGGAAGTGAGAATGGCCAGACTTCTTCTCACCTACTTTGGTCATGTTGTCAGAAGGAACCATTCTCTGGAGAAGGATATCATGCTTGGTAGGGTGGAGGGTCAGTGAAACAGAGGAAGACCCTCAACAAGGTGGATTGACACAGTGGCTACAATGATGGGCTTGGGTATAGCAGGGATTGTGAGGCTGGCACAGGACTGGACAGTGTTCTGTTGTACATGAGGTTGTATGAGTCAGAGACAACTCAGCAGCATTGGATGTGCTTATTGTCCTAGGCTGTTGAAATGGAGAGAGCTAGGAAATACATGGGTGTGAATATACATATACAAGGACACATTTACTATTTCTATACAGCTATATGTATTTTAAAAACCACAAAAGCATATCCATCTGTCATCCCAGTTCAATACCACAAGGTTCATTTTAGCCTTTTCCCTCACTGTACATGTTACTCTTTTCTCTCTAATAGTAGTATTTCTGTTCCTCATTATCCACAAAACTTTATTTGCTGGATCTTAGAATATTCATAAAGTAGCTTCAGAATTACTAAATGTGAGGTGATTTAACCACCTTGCACAAAGGAGTTTGGCCTTTGTTCAAGGTTCTTGGAAGATGGACTGCAGCTTACGCTAATGAGTGAAGGTGATTAAGATCAAAGTGACCACTGGTGTCCTGATGCTGCCTCAGCCTTTTGAGGCATAATGTAGCTTATGGCCAAGTAAAGCCCGGACTTGGACCCACAATCAACTGGAATAGACCAGAAGGAGAGAGGGCAATGTTTCACATGAAGTCCCCAAATTTATGTGCCTTATGCTTCTAATTCACTGCATCATTATTTGTTAGTGTTTGATTAATCATGTAACCAACCGTAGCCTGCGTAGAACAGGTATATCAATGAAAGCCAAAACAGCACATTTTCTTGCATATTCTGTTGCAGGGGGAATTCCCAAACTTCACTTTTTTGGGCCCACATATCTTCTTCATTGGTTAACTTAACATTTTGGGACCCTAGAACTCTGTGATATTCACATACCTCCTGTGCTCCCTCAACTGAAAAAAAGCCACACCTGCAAATGGAGGAATAAACTTTAAACTTTCTCTACCCCTTGGGGATAAAAAGGAAATAGTCCTGACATGGTCTCATTCCTCTAGAGCAGCTCCAGCAGAAGCTGGGAAATATAAATAATCAAACTAGGCAGGTTTTCTAAGACATAGGGTCAAAATTGTTGTACTCTCTCTAGACTCAGTGGGCCCCCCCTCACAGAATATAGGAGACAATCTTTGGAAGAAAAGTAATCTTTTTGGTGTTAAGCTCTGTTTGCCTTTAAATAGTGTAGGAGGGAAACTCACTGCAGTTTCAGGGTATATGGAGAGCAAACTGGAAGAGTAGCACTCCCAGCTTCACCCCTTCTCCAGGAGAAAACAACAGCTGCCATTGAGTTGACTCCAACTCATGACAACCCCGTGTGTGCCAGAATAGAACTGCTCCTTGGGGTTTTCAGTGACTGATTTTTAAAAGTGAATCACCAGGACTTTGTTCCAAGCACCTCTGGGTAGACTCAAACCTCCAAGCTTTCAGTTAGCAGCCTTGCATGTAACCATTTCCATCACAAGGGGTTTCTCCACGAAAGCCTAGAAGAAACTAAGAAAAGCCTTGGCAAAACAGGAAGCCCCCAGGACTCAGTGATTTTGTGGGGAGGGTGGTGAGTCCAAGGGAGAATCCAGGGAAGCTGAACTTAATGAGAAGACTGCCACAGAAACAGGGGAGAAGAACTTAGAGAAATGGGGGTGGGCCACATGGGATCCCCTCCAAAACATCTTCTTTTATGGCCTTAACCTCTTTGGATAATATAATGTGTTATGTAAACAAGACGTACAGCTCATAACACCCTGATTTAGTACTAGTTTGGGCAAATAATTAAACCGTTCAGTTAGAGAACTATTTATCTTTTACTGCACATCAGCATATGCTTTTGATAAAATAGCATCAACAACAAAAATAGGCACTACTATATGAAAAGTAGTAGTATATTGCTTTGTTATCATCCATTGGGCATCAGTTCACTCCTTGATGGATTACTAAATGGGAAAATGTAGCCACCAACAGACGGTATCCCAGTTCGTAAAAGGGACCAAACTACTTTTTGTTTTTGTTTTTCTGTTATCTGCTTTATATTTACAAAGGGGGACTTGGAAAACATCCTCTTTGGGACAGAAAGTGTGTGTGTGTGTGTGTGTGTGTGTGTGCATGACAGGTTTTATGCAATTTCTTTCCTACTTTCCCATGAATCTCAATGTATGTATCTCTGCCTTAAGTATTGTGATGCCTGTATTTGTGAGGAAATACTTTTCAGTTCTTCTGCAAAATCAGTGCTGATTTCCCATGATCAGAGGCTGGCCCTCCTGAAGTTGTATAAGATAGAGTTTTCTAATTTTTATTTCTAGAACAGGAATCTTAAAATCTGTTTCTTAATATTTTTCTTTAAAAAGATGAAGCAAGAGACTCCCCAAGAGGAAGAAGAAAGCCTAGGTTCTCTGCTCTAACCGCTAGACTAGTGGCAACTTTAACCATTCTCTCTAGTGATTACTCAAAGGACATCAGAGAACACCCACAAGCTTCAAAGTAGCCCTTCAGCAGATTCCTGGAAGGAGCCAACCATGCTCAGAAAAGGTCAGATTTTAAATGGTGAGTAAGACAATTACCAGCCACAGAAGAACTGACCACATTATCTCACCTTCCTAACCCTGCCTTACAGCTGGAAAACTGGAAAGTTTCTGACATGCCTAGTTCCCTCAAATGGGCTTTGATCCTAGTTAGAGGAGCACTGTAATAGGAGTCAGAAGACCTGGACTCCAGTCTCAATTCCCTGTAAGCCTAAATGTGATTTTGAGTTAAGCACTTCACTCTCTTGGTCTCAGCTTAAGGATCTGGGAAACAGAAGGGAATGGTCCCTTCTTACAACGTGACCAAAACAGGTGAGACGAAGTCTGGCCATTCTTGCTTCCAAGGAGCATTCTGGCTGCACTTCCTCCAGGACAGATCTGTTAGTTCTTTTAGC